TAGAAAATTGGTTTTATTCTTTTTGGTCATAAAGAAAATATAATCATCCCTTCCAAAAGAAATTGTCCTATCCATGGCTTGATCTGCTTTTATGTACTGTTGGCAAAACAAAAGCATGTGAAATAATTATTTGTTCTGTTAAACATCAAAACATCAGTCTTAGCTATATAATGCGTATAAATTGGAGAATAGCTAATTAGTCCATTTCATCATTTCTCTTTTTGAAAAGAAATACCATTATTCATTCCATTACTTGCTGCTGGTTTCTACAGTTTCAAGAGCCAAACCTCAGAATGTGATGGTTTGATTTAACTGGTCCTAGGTTTGTGTCTGGGCTGTTTCTGGGTTCTTTAATATAAGTTTTCTCCCATTTCAGTGTATGTTTCTTCTGCCTGCACTCCATATTATTATAATAAGTTAAGTGATCCAAACTGTAGTGAATTATTACATTTTTAAAAGTCAGTAACCTAAGTGGCTTTATTTATACCCACTAAGCTTCTTTTCTTTGTCTAGTTTTGCAGAGAGAAATACCTATATTGTGTCTAGAAAAGCTTTTCAAATGCTGTGCTATTCACCAGATGCTTAGGGACAGTGCATTTAGAACTGGAGTGGATAATGTGTATGCTTTCTATCCCTTCAGTCAGTGGTTAAGGCAGGAAGTAGCTTTGATAGTGAAAACCAGGGTTTTGTAAAATGCTCAAAGATGAAGAAAGAAGAATGACGCTTCTTTCCTTGCGGTTTCAGAATCCATTTGCTTTTGTATATACAGCAAGGGAGCGAGTTTCCTAAACTGAGAAATGTTTTACTCTACAAGTGAGGCAGCATGAGAATCAATTGGTAGATTCAGCTTGTATTATTTACATTTTTTCTGCACTCAGAGGAAACATCCTAGACCATCCAGTACAAAAAATTCATGGATGTCTCAGGGGAAGGAGGGTCCAGTATACATATACCAACGACTCAGGAGAGCTTGTTGGGCTCTGTATCTCTTATTCTCAATTTGTTTATACTTTTTTGTATCAACCTGTTGGGAATTTCAGAAAATCTTGGTAGGAGACCATTACGTGTCATTAATCTTTTCACTCTACTTTTCTCCCAATATGTTCTGCTACATCTTATCTAAAGTGAAGCTTAAATCTAAGCTTTATAACAGAGTGTGAGATTTATGATACCATCTTTTTCACAGCATCACAAAGGGTAGAATGTAAGAAAAAGTGTCTGCAGAAGTGGCTATCACTTAAGTAGATAAAAGGTGGGGATAATGAAGTGTTAAGTACTGTATTTCTTTGTGATAAAATAAATCAGCCAAGGTCCTGCTGAAAAATTTGGGCAAAATTACATGAGTCAACCTTGATAGCACAAGCCAGTCTGTTGCTTCTACCACTAAGCCTACATATGTAACTGGAGATCTGAATTTTGTACTTTCTGCCTCTAGATCAAGTCTAGTGGAATATTCTGCAAAAGGATGTGAACTTTATTTTCTACAGATGATGATTAAAAAACCCAGTGCATGTTGACTCTTTCACCTTTGCCTTGGTATCTCACTCCCACTGAGTGCCTAAATACCACCACTTGTTTCTTGCTCTCTGAGAGCCAGGGTGCTGCTAAAGAAGTTTTAGTGTGCTTTCATGATGTAAGATTATTTTTTCAGTATAAGTCAGAGCTCAGAAAGTATTCTTCTCTTCACTTTCCAGGCTTGTTTTAGTGCTCAGTGATGATAATAGTAGAATCTTTTTATTGGTTGGATTTATCCAAGTTTGGGTCTTTTTAAAATTATTTTACATCTATCTAAATTAGCCAAAACTGTCAGGTAGGCAAGCAGAACCTGCTGCTAAGCAACAAAGCTGCATTACCTGGAGAATAATATTACACTGCACTGAATACTGACAGAATTGGCAAATGGTCTCAGAGGAGGGAGATCAGTCCCCATTCTGTTACAAACCTGCAAATACAGATGGTAACAGGGATTAGCAGTCTAGAGGTTTTCTGGTTTAATAACTTACAGATTGTGTCTTTTTAAAACATGCATTTCAATTGAAGTCAGGCTCATCATTGCCTATAATCTATTAAGTGTTATGAAATCTACAGATAAGCAATTTTGAGGAGCACAGGTACAATCTATCAGGCTGTGAACATCTAGTTTTGTCTTTATAGCATTAGGAAAATTCTTTAGAGAAGCCAAACTTGTAAATGTTGCAATTTCCTAAAAGCTGAATTAAAGTCTTTTTAGTTTAGCATCCAGTAATGTGCAAGTCAAAAGTAAAGACCATTTACAATGATAAAATTATCCAGCTATGGATAGCAGGTTATTATTCTGCAGTAGATGGAGTATCACTGAAGAGGAAATCTGAAAATGTATTTTTCTGAGATTCATTCTGGTAATAGTCCATTTTATGTATTTCAATATATACTACTTTGTAACACGTCATATGCATTTTCATCTTTATATATGAGATTTCTTTAGCTTTGATGTTGGGCTGGATAAACCTCAAATCCATGCCTTTGCTTTCATGAGTGCCTGTATGATTCCACATTGCCTTTCTGCAGCCTGGTGTAATTGTACTGGTTAATTGTTCATATTACCCCCAAAATAATAATCATAATCTCTCCCTTAGATGTCTTGCTGTGGTCTAAATCTCCCCTTTTGGCCTTTTCACCCAAGGCATAGGGACCAGCTAATTTATTTCCCCCAGGAAGAGCCATTTAATGTGTTGGTTCAGTCATGATGTGAAAGGGAGATACAAAAAGTTGAAGTGGAATTGAGCATCATGAAACAACTGTGCTAAATATTAAAGAAATTAATAAATACTTATAGTTACCTTGCTCTGTCATTTCATGCACAGCCAGTGCTCAGTGAAGGATGCCTCATTCATGTCATACTGAGTAAGACACAGAAACAACTTGAAAATATATAGTCTGTTTTTCTGAAAAAAAAAAGTTTAGTGTCTTCCTACTTAGTTCATTTCACTGCTGCAGTACGATCTGTTGAGGCAGCAGGTCCCTCAGTCTTTCCTGCATTTGGGCAGCCTTTCACATCTGGCCACCATGGTCAAAAGGTGTGAATGGGCTTTGCAAACCTGCAGGGCCCAGGGCCACAGTGCTCTCCATGCCACAGGCCTCCCTAGGTGCTCTCCAATGCAATCTGCAGAGGGATTCAGAAAATTATAACCTCCTTCTCATAAATGAGCGCTGGGAAGCAGCACCCAGGTGTGCGGTGTTTTCCCACATTCCTCACTGTTTTCACAAGGCTGAATCGGAGCTTTGTGCAGAAGGTGTCCTGGAAGCATCAGGCAGGCATCAGTCCGTGCCTCAGCAGTGGCAGCCAAGCTGTAATTTATCTGACATGGCTTGGTGACTTTGCTCTCAATTCCAAAGTAAATGGCTTTCTCACATCATTCAAATGCACAACCAGGTTAGCAGTAGCTGCCACTTTTCAGCCTAGCAGCACAAAAAGGACATAAAATGCCACTTCCCCTGAACATGGTTTTTTATGTGCTTCTCTCAGATGCCCAGCAGTGAGTTTCCTGCCTCCCCCTTGGCCCTCTGGTGAATCAGACTCAGAAGCATTCTGACTAGCTGAGGACGAACTGAGCAGGAATAATATTCATTATAAGCAGGTCATATGGTATTTAAACCTCCTCTGATGATGCAGCCAAATCCATCAGTGTACTAATTCTCCCACAGGACTGGATGCAAATTCTTCTGGTTTAAATGAAACAGCCTTGAAAGCATTGGTTTCAAAGAATTTTAATATGAAGATTTTCTAAACAGAACTGAAACTTTTTTAGTAAACAAAGTGGAGATTATTAGTGTTCTCCCAAGTCATCAAAGCATTCTGTAACATTGCTCTCAGCAGTTCATAGGTCTTTACAGACATTTGCTGGTCAGCTGAACAAAGAATCCTTTTTCTGTATTGTTGGTCTTGCCCAGCTGTATTTGTTCACTGTCACAACACCTTTGTTCAGTTTGATTAAGGTAGATTTAGCTCACTCTGCACAGATGTGCTGATAAAGTGTCTGTATAAAAGGTGATGTGAAGTAAGGCCTCAGTTTGTCTGGTTGCAGCCATTGTAGTTTTATTTAATTGATGTCTTTACCATCTTGAATTTAATTCCCTCTTAAGCAGGGGTTTGGGTCACAGTTAACTATTATTCCTGTCCACTATTAAATAAGAGTCACCCCCCACCAAAAACTCATTGTTACAATCTTCATCATGAAAGCAGTCCCAAAACTTGTTTTTTAACCATTTTTGCTTGTAGAGCATTCTTGCTGTAAAGCACTATTGGTATTTCAGCCGATTTGTTTTTCTCTGTAAGGATTTTTTGCATTTAGTTTTGATTTCTGACCTTTTTCAGAGAAGCTAGTTCATGTTGAGATGATGATTCTGATAGATGGTGACATTTTCTAAGTTGGTGGGGTCACTAAAGGGACATTTTATTAAAACAAACATTAATTTTTTTCTTTTATTGGTCCCACTCTTCACTCTTCAGATGGGCATTACAGGCAGCTGCTTCCAAGCATGAAGAAACATTTCAAACTAGCAAAATCATTCTACTTTCAAACAAATTAACATCTCAGCTTGCCAGTGACAAGTTTCTAAAGATGATCATGTGAACAGTACTGCATCCAGTAATTTATTCAGGCCATCCAACTTCATCCTTCTGTGTTTTCACAGATGATTCAAAATTGACAGCATGGACAGCAATGGGCCATCACCATGTTAGTACCATTGTGCTGAGCCACGAGTGCAAAGTTTTCAGTACATTCAAATGAGCACAAAACCTTTTCAGGACTGCAGCCCTCTGTAACCTTGGAAACTATTATATATGTTCATTTGAGAGACAATCAATTTATTACAGCAGTGTCAAAGCATTTTGGAGAGAAAGTGAATTGCCCTGTTTCATTTGTTAAAATGTATTTGTATGACTCATCTGCTGTTGTTATCACTCAAACTATTATTAATAGTAGTAGTACATTTAATGAACACTTACTTTTTTGTAGCACTGGAGAACTTCATTGAGCAGTGAAGCACAAAGTCTTTGATTCTGTGTAGTCTTGGGAGAGATTGTGCTCAAAGGCCCAATGGAGACAGGTAAAGTTGTTACTTGCTAAATTGATGCTTTTCTGAGGGCTTTGTAAGAGGGCTTTATTTATAGTCAGTGCATGGGACAATTAAAACTTTTTTGAGAAGGCTCTAACAAGTGACTGAATGTAAAGATAAATTGGGAGTTTATTTTCCTTTTTTGTTTCAAAATACAAGTATTAATATTGTACAACATTGATTGCTTTATTCTAGAGAGCATGCTTTCAATTTTAAACACGGACATTAAGTTTAGCATTTGTTTAAAATGTATGCATGTGAAAAAACACTGATCTTTTTGAGGACTGCCCTCATCTTTCAGTGCTACTGGTAGTTATGTATATTCATCAAGACATGATTATTCCATGATAAAAACCCCCAAACATTTGGCACTCTTTCCTGCTGGTTTAAAACAAGAGTGAAATGTGTCTAGAGCTTTCCATAGCTGTAATACATGGTGTGTATCAGAGACAGAATGTCACCACACTGCTCGTTAGCACATGTGGAGCCACACTCTCCTAAAATCCCAGTGCTGGGGCCTCTCTGTGCTGTGTGACTTAACCTCCATTTCACAGCTACATATGGCTGCTGGCAAGGCACCCAGCTTTGCAGGGAGCAGCAAAAGCAGCTCTGTGGGAAGGCTGGGCTCCTTTAAAATATGCTAAGGGTTATTTCATAGAGGTTTTGCAAAGCAAGTGTGAATCTGATGAATGCCAGAAGAATGCAGCTGTCACTAGAGGTACCTTTGAAATGGCACAGTGGGCTTTGCTGTTGGCTCTCTTAGCATCAAAAGGGGCATTTTGTGCTGTCTCCAGCAAAGACAGTCACACACTAAGTGTGTCTACAAATGTTTTTGACAAATATCTCATGTTTAATTCCTCATGCACTTCTATTACAAAGTGTCCCTGACACTATCAGTAAACTTTTCTCAGCTTTTTTGGGGTATGTCAGTTCTTCCACACAACAGCTTTGATTTGATCTTTTTTTCACACTGGACTTAAAATAAAGTATTTTGAATATTTTCTTGCAATAGAATTGTGTCAGAACAGATGCTCTCAATTCAGAAGCCTTGATTTTTCTTCAAAAAGTTTGAAAAGATTTTTAAAACTTTTGGACTGAAAAACATTGTAGGAAAACAAAATGTTTCCATTATAGTTTTGGTTTCAGTGAAAGACCACAGAAGGATCTTCTATGAATTCTGGGAACTATTGAAAAGCTTTGCCTGGGAAGAGAGCTTACTTCTCAGGAAGAATTAAATCTTTATGGCAGAAATAGAAATTCCTCCACTAAAAAGAATGTCAAAATTCACATGGAAAGGGAAAAAACCTATCTCAACAAGTAACAGTAAAATGGAAATAATTTATCGCAAAGTGAGTAGATGGAGCTTAGCGATGGGACATTTTATTTTGTAGTCGAGTGTTACATCAAATATAGTTATCAATACCTAGGTGAGCAACTTGTCCCTCCAAGTTTGTGGATATGAAACAGTTTTTAGCACTGGGAGTAGTACGTGACTCATACGATGTGGAGGGCTGCTTCTGTAGCCAAATGGAGCCATTCTTTTTGGACTCACATCTTTCAATAATTGCACTATTCATTCCTACTGCATGTCATGGTAAATAAATGCTTTAAAGTCCATGTGCTGTGTAGAAGAGACAGCAGGAGATATATTTGAAACCTGCCTTTCCATTTTAGTGTCATATACAAGCACTGAAAAAGGCAACACACATGAACAACTAAAGTACTTAATGTTTTCCCCTTACAATTGTAGCTTGATGCTAATATGTCCTGAAATATCTTTAATTTTTCATTATCGCTGTAATTATGCAAATATTAAGAAGACAATTGTTGTGTATAAACATTCATGTTTGTGTGTGAAGGTGTGTAGAGGTCAGATCCTGGCTGCAGTGAATCACAGCTGAGAAAGCAGCGGCGCAGCTCGGTGAGTTTTAACTGGAAATGGGCAGCGAGAGCTGCCGGGCACCGAAAGGACAGCTGGCGTGGCAGCTTTTGACATCCTGTGTGTAATTGATTTTGAATGCTTGACAGGTTTTTATAATGGTGCAGGGGCACTTAGACCAGCAGGTAACTGTTGGGAATAGATTGAGTGGTGGTGAGCCCATTTTCATATTACTCTTACTTGAGAATCCTTTAGACACACTTGACATCAAAGATATGTTCTCTTTTAAGTGCAAGTGCTTGTCAACTGTTACACCCCTTTTCATCAAATTCCAGAAAAGCAGAACAACTTAAACCACTGGTGTGTTATTTAATTAAGTGATCATTATTAAAGATGAAATCCCAAGTACAGCTTCTATATCAAGTAGGAGTAAGAAATAAAGTATTAGCTGGGCAAACCAGCCTTTAGTTTTCTTGTCCAAGTTATTTTTGTTGGTAAACCCTGAGCGGAAAATCACTTGTGAAATTGATGTCAGAATTAGATTGAGCAGCCCAATAATTACAACCAGAGAAAAGACAAGCTGTTTCTGTCTGTTTGAAGTGAGGACTTTTTTTTTTTTAATATGTGATAAGTAGGCTGGTGAAAATAATTAAAAAAAATTTAGAGAGCTATTGTGTTTGTTTTTCTTTTACATTGCATGCCTGCAAAGTGTCAATTGAATGAAAAAAAATCACATCTCTAAATGGATTTGATTTTATCTGGGGTCCACCACCCCACCAGGATCTTAGAAAGGAATTAGTGGAACTGAGTGCCTTCATTCTGGGATTTCGAATTTACTGCCTGGTGAAAGAGTTTGTATTGCAAATAGAGAAACATAATGCAGTGTCTGAAAATCAGGCTGCCTGGAGTCAAGCATGCAAATACTGAAGATTCAAAAATGACCAGTTGCTGTAAAAATCTAGGTCATACACTTCCAGACTTTTGGTCTTCAAACTTGTGGCAAAGTATTTTGTTCTTCAAGAATGTTTTTTAACTCTGTCATCGTTTGCAGCTAAAGGTTTGCTGTTTTGTATCCTCCATTATGTTGGAATTTGGGTGGATATTTGTATTTGAAACAATAGAATGTCTCACATAATACGCCGTAAATATCCAAAACAACTGCTATGTAAAATTTAATAGATTGTGCCAAGCAATGTTCATAATATTTTATTAATGGCTATGAATTGGATCTAGAAAATTTTACAGTGGTTGGACTGACTATTCATCCAAAAGATATAGGCACTTAATTGTGTCTAAGCAGCTGTCAATTTTGTATGCCCTCAAGATGTCCCTTTCTCACTTGGCTGATCACATCAGGTTCAGAGCCTCTGAAAGGTTCAGACTTAGACCAGAAGGGAAAATTTTGCTTGTGACAAAACTGCAATGGCTTAACCATTATGGTGCACGTCTAAATCTTAAAATATCTCTGAAAAAATATTAAGACCTACAGTAAAGGACAAAGACAGTTGAAGCAATTTTTCATAGAAGTTTAAATATCTTTTTGCAGTGGTTGGTATACTTCAAAAGTAATTTTTTTCAGTAATTAAATAAGGTATTTTGGTATATAGGTGCAAAGTATTTCAAACTGAAAGGACTCACATTGCTGTGCTCGTTAAATTAATTTCACCAGAGGTTATATTTTTGAACAAAACCATGAAAAGATGGGGTGTTTTTGCCCCCTGGAGACAATTTTCCATGAAATAGAGGGTAATGGCCTTAGTATTTTAGTTTGCAAAGTTGAGCAGCTAATTTCAAGTCTGGCTGCCCAGACCCCTTTATTTGTACAAGCTGTCCTTCATGTGTTGTCGTAAAGATGTGAGATGTTTATGACTGAGTAAAGCTACAATGTTGTCTCTTTGTGTAATTTGCAATTATTGGAGTAGAAGAGGTAGGAAAAATTAAATGGAGACAAAAGTTTACACTAAAGTCTTGGAGATTCTGGAACAATAATTTTTCATGGCAAAGCTGCAAAGTGCTGTGGCTTAGCTAATAATTGTAGCAAATATTACAAATAGACTGAGCAATTATACATTTTAACCAGTTCATTAGCTTAGAGCTAATAAATAGCCACTTAAGTGATGCACTTAGAGTTAATCTCATTAACTCTACCAGTATCAACTTCCCAAAATCATTTGCATACTAGAGGCTTCTTGACTCATTGGAGGGACATATTTCACTGCCATTAGGTATTTATTAAAACTGTTTGACAGAAAATTGTTTTACTGTGAGGTTTTGGCACATATGGTAAAATCTGAAGCATGACTAAATTTGGGCACTAAAAAAAAACTCATCACACTCATGCACTGTTTGACAAAAAATTGTTTTGATTTAATTTTTCTTTGTTAAAAGAATAATAATTGCAATGCTTTTTTTTAAACAGGCTTCCCCCCCCCCCATTATTTAGAAATTAATTTCTTGGTTATTAGTGTTTCCTAAAAGGGACTCTCAGGTAAAACATTGCTAACATTGCTATAAAATATCAAAATCTGAATGTCTTGAAGGATATTTTAAAGAAAATACATATTTGAGATAGCCACTAATCTCCTTTTGGTTTGATAATTCCATTTGCACACACAAAAAGTAGCTGTAGACAGCCTTGTGATTCTAGATGAGAGAGGTGTTGCTCTGGTTAGCTCTTGGAGACAGTCCATAGAAAATTAGGCATAATCCACAGAAAATGAGCTTGGATTAGCCTACAATAGCATGAAATAGAATTTGTTACTTAAAAAGAATCATTGATAAAACTATGCATTTCAAACACACATGTTACAATAAATACACATAAAATGCAGAAGCACTTGAACTGTGTGATGCTGGCCTCCGTTTTAGTTATGTTATGCTCTATTAAAATATACAGGTTGCTGGAACTAGTTTTTTCTTTTTTTCTTTTTTTTAACTGGACTGTATATATATTTTCTTTGGTGTTTTTTTCTTTTACTCTTTTATTTTTCTTTTTGGTAAGGTTAGAGAAATCTTAATCATAAAACCACAAACTAGGACCTATTGGTCCCCTGTAGTTAAAAACTGGGGAAATCCTGTGAGTGAAGGCCATGTTTCTTGCATTAAAATATGGACAGTGGGAATTTAAATTATGAAGAAGGGCCAGTTCCCACTGAAAGCTATCTAAGCAGAATTTAGCATACCTGTCATACCCCATTTAGTTTTCAGGAGCATTATAAATTTGCTGCCTCCCAAAACATAATCTTGGGAAACCAAATTGTATCAATATTTGACTCACATATTCAAAACTTCTGTCCTGGCCTAACCACTCCACAAACTGATGTAACTATGCTGAATTCCACCAAAGTTACACCAGTGTGTTTCGCGTAGTAAAAGTAAAGATTGTCTAAATTCATGGCTGCAAAATTTCTCAGAAGCAAAATGTATCCTTTCTGTGCTATATAATTCCTGGAGCATTTGCTATCACGAAACAAAAAGATGAGTTTTGAAGAGCAATAGTTTCTTTCCAAGTAACCTCAGTTTCTGTGCTGCAAGGCTGTGCCTGTTCCTGGATACAAGAGAATTAGTGGATAAGATCTTCCACTCTTTTCCCAGAATCTTTTCAGTAGTTAGAAGCTAGACTTTTTCCTCCATTGCATTCTTCCAATGCTTCTTCTGTATTAATGCCAGGGGAGGAAAAACCTGGTGTTAAATGTTCTATTCGAGATTTTCTCCTCTCATTTATGTCAAGCTAAACAGATATTCCAAATACAGGCCAGTAGCATCTGTTAATTTTGCTTTTTATTACCTTGTACAGGCTATTTAATTTTTTTATATAAAAGACAGGCAGTTCTCAGCCCTACACAGGCTTTGGCATTCATACTGTTTGCATGCAAATACTATTTTTACATGTATCCATGAATACAGATATCTAACCTTGAACATTTGACTTATTAATGTGAATAATAGTTTAATGTAAACATCTATAGGGACTAATTTATATTTTTTAACAATCCACTGTACCATTGTTGTAAGCAAACTTGAAGTGCAGAGCAGGTGTAGGAGAGTTTCTATAATGTTGTTTTCATTTAGAGGGAACAAAGAGATTTGTGCGGCTTCCCGGAACAAACTGCTTAGGAAAGTGATGCCTATTCAGGTGATAAATTAGGTGATATATACTATGACAAGGGCTCAAAAATCCAGATGTATGTGGAAAAGTAGCTCTGATGATAAAATAGGATTTTTAGGCACTGGAGTCTTCAAACAGTGCATGAGTTTGATGATTTTCTTTAGTACCCAAATTAAGTAATGCTTCAGATTTTACCAAACGTGTCAAAATCTCACAGTAGAGCAAAATCACATTAAAACAAAAAAGCAAAACCCCAATCGAAAGAGGGAACAAAGAGGAATGACAGTTAGGAATTTACAAATCACTGGCCTAACCCTATTCAACACGGTAATCTTACAGCCAGTCTTGTCAGAATTTGTTCTTGTCTATCTTTGTCCACAAGAAAATACAGGACTTAATACTTATGCATTGTAAGAGTGTGTAGGAATGCTTTAGACGAAGTAAAGCATTTGATAAGTGAGTGATAATACTTGGACTTTTATCTTGTGATTATTCAATTTATTCTAGTCTTAATAATTTTGCTTATTAATTGTTCATAAGTATTTTATTCAAATGAAGTTGTTAGTGTAAGAAAGCTGGAGTATTAATGTGGGTTTTCCTATCATAGCACATTCTGTCACAGGTAATGCAACCAGTCAGTTCAAGGCTGTGCTTAATTCATTGGGATGAGGAATTCACTCGGAGGGGGTGGGAGTAGCTGAGCTGTGGTTGACTCTGCACATCTGCCACCAAGTAATCCAAGTGCCTGGAAATTTGTGGAAGAGTTGTCTCTGCCGTGAGCATTGAATGGGCTTTTTGTAATCATGTGTGACCACACTACTGTTATAAAAAGCAATGACTGTATGGTCTTACTGTGGTTAAGACCTGACTGACCTGAGTTAGGATTTTGCAGCAGTTTGTGTAGATTCAACTTTATGTAGTGTTGAGGGTAGATGATTTTGTTTTAATGCTGAATACAAAAAGATAAATGCAGATGGAGTTTCAAAATTCTTCCTGGTTTTGTGTGTTATTCTACTCAGCTGTGAAGGTGCTACATATTCTGTGTAGAACAGTCTGATAGTATACATTGCTATTTCTCATAGGAATTGAATTTTAATCAGGAAAGAGAAAATGCACTTGGGAATAAAAACTGCCAACATTCATTAGTCCTTGAATTGGGAAGTTATATAAGCCAGCAATTTTACGACTCAGTGGGTGTATGGCAGGGTGGGTGGAGCTCTGAACTCACAAAGGAGTGTCGCTGGAGTCAGCTGTAGGATCAGAACAACTTTATCAATGCAATCATTCCCACTCTTAATGGCAGCCCCTTAAGATAAATGAAGGATTTCCTTCCCACGTCTTTCAAGTGGTGTTTAAGAAGTAATGAATTCTCTCTAAAAAAAAAAGGCAACAAGAGTGGTTGGCATTAATTCTTTTTGTGTAGAGAGGTTTAAGTCATGATGGTTATAAACTGCATTGTAGATCTGTCAGAAATGGCTTCTGTATATACTCCCTACCCATTGCTAATAGATGGCCAAAATTTTGGAATTTGCTTTTAATGAATCTATGGATTCATTATGACAAGATCTCCCATACTGATGAATTTGCTATCAAAACTAGCACCTACTGTGCCTGAATGTTTTCTGAGTAATACTGAACTTTTATCTATTTCTGACCCTAAAAACTGAATTGAATGATCTTTGAATTCAGCCAGCTGTTCACCAGCCTCCTTTGATACCTAAATGACATGAACTAATTTTCCTCTCTTAACTGTGGAAATTTGTGAGACCACAAATGTCTTAACTGAACATGAGTCCCAGTGGCCAGTATTTTAAATTGTGACCAGCTTGAATACCAGCTCTGTTTCCTTCTCTGTCACGAGGAACTAACACTGGTGCAGTTGGCATGATGACAGAGAATCCAGGAAGAGTGTTGATTCTTCAGGAACTCGTGCAGTTTTACATACATGATTAAATTCTTCAATTTCTCCCAAAAGGAAGTCCCTAATTAATTAATTGCATAGAGATCTCCCAATGCAGTCTTAACAAGAATTCTATCCCACAGTTGTCCATTAAATACTTGCTTTAAAAAGTTCTTAAACAGCTTGCAGATATAGAAAGAGATGCTTCACCCTGATTTAAACTGGATGGAAGATGTTGGGATTTTGTGTTGTTTGTGTACAGCATCTACTGTGTTTGGACTAAGAGGCTCCTAGGAGTTTGAGTGTAAGGATTTCTTCACTAGGGGGGGAACCACTCACAGGACATGAGTAAGGAGCTTTTCAACCATGCCTTTGTGCTCATTTTTTTCCCTATTACTATAGAAGGACAATTTTTTTGTTTGCTGCTGTTTTGACAAAATATTTCTCTGCTTGTCTGTAAACTCCTGTATGTACTGCACTAGGTGGTCTCCCTTCCCTGTTTGCTCTTGTTTTGCCCATGCAACCCTAATTTCACTCTCCTTTTATTAAACCTAACGTAGCTAACTACTTATTTATTTTCATATCATGTGTCCCTGTGATATCTGGGCCACTTCAAGTTTTCCAACTTGATTGCAATAAAAATTTAAGTTTCATCTAACCTAGGTTTCTCCCCACTGCTTCTATTTCCTATCTGGTATCATTTCCATTATGACAGTGAAGGTAAGTTTAAAAAAACAAAACAAAAGGAAATCAAATTTAGTGACAAAATTTAGGATCACTGTGCTGGCTGTCAGTGTCTGCAGAGCTGTTTCTGTAAGGCTTTGGTCAGAGGTAATTCTCTGTTCACACAGCACTGCTTGTGCGGAATTCTTTTCTGTAGAATAAGGTCTCAGTTTTTGTCACAACAAGTTTTACAGCTGTATTAATTCTTGGAATGACCTTCCATTTCTGTGTATCCATTTCTCTCCCACCTCCAAGTCTACTACAATTAATTTCTTCCATTTTCACCCTTTGTTTTGTCTTGCTTAGTTATTAAAACATACAAGTCTTAAGGACTCTCAGTCATCAAATCAGTGGTGTTACAACACTAGTGACTGTTCTTCCCTCCAGAACCTGATATCCTAACCCTAGTAAGGCTGCCATGGCATAATAAAATTTCTTAGGTTTACTTTTCTAATAACTTAGATTCAGGTGAGGGTTTCTCAGTACCTGATGAGCCTTAGACACCTGGAGAGCTTTGAGGACTCCCAGCATCAAAGAGATCTATAATGAATTATTAGTAATATGTATTAAAAAAAACTAACGAAAAGTTCTCTCTAATCTTCTACATTAAAATAGGTTTCAAGGGAAATACTGAAAAATATAGCATGCTTTTTAAAAACATGAAATTACTTTGTCCTAAAACTTTCTATTTTTAGGCATGTAATAAAAGCAGGATATTGTTGAGTGAAAAATGTAAAAAATATGTAGATTTTTCATGTCTAGGTCATAGTATTATTTAATTAGAAATTATTATAAGGCTTCAAAATTAATATCCTAGCCAGCCATTGAAGGCAAATTAAATGCAAATGAAACTCCTCAAATGAACACATAATGCTTACTACATTGAGGTTTCAAAACACATTTGTGATGCTGAGTAGAAAAAAAATCAAACTTACATTGAATGTACTCTGCAAATGCAAATGTCATCATCCATTTCTTTTTATGCTTTTCTGGTTTGTGCTCTTTGTTTTGCAAATATGGTAATTGTAATGCAGTTGTATTAAAATTGGAAGAAGTCATTGAAATTCACCCAGCAAACACTCTCTTCTTCCAAAGTTATTTGGTTCAAAAGTGTAAAATGGATTTTGAATTTTATGTCAGCAGTTTTAAAGCTTATCATGTTACATTCATATATTCCACTATGTCACAAATGAGATCAGAAATATTGAGGTGTTGGTATGAAACTGCAAAAAACCCCAAAAGGCATGTTTTATTCTATGGTTTATTTGTTTTTTTGAAAGAAAGGCCATCTGATGACATTTCTTTTGGCAAGACAAATGTTTTAATTCATATGCTGAGTCCTTTAGTTAAACTTTGTGTACTTTCCTTTCAGTATTTTAATTTCAAGAGTTAACTTAACATATCAATTTCTCTGTACAAGTCCTGTAGGAAATAACTTTTTAAGCCTAAAAGGATTACCCTGTTCTGCCTTGATGCATTTTATACTTCCATTTACTCATATGCAGTGACAATGGTGGGAAGAGCTCTCTTGTGTTTGCTCCACCACTGCTGACCACAGTGCTCTGCAATACAAACTCAAGGAGTTGAAGAATCTTTCCACAATAAATTGTCAAGTTTTTTACACTAACTTTTTTCTTAGCTGTCATTATAGATGTCTTCCAGCACTGCTAAATCTCTCAGGTGCTGGATTCCTTCATCTGCAGTGGTCTGCTTTCCTGGGGACTCCACAAGATCTTCCTTAAATGAACATCTTGCCCAGCACAGCAAGGCCATCAGTGCCAGGGTGAAGCACAGAGCCACTGGCTGTGTAAGCCCATTCCCAAACTTGGCAAATAAGGAGATAAGCAGCTCAGCTGCCAACTCCCTGTCCTGCTGCCCAATAACGGCTGTAACTGCAGGATGATTAATGTGAAATTGCCAACTGTAGGTCTCACCTACACTGGGCACCAAAAAGGGCTGTGGTGGGCTGACCTTGGCTGCATGCTAGGCCCTCACCAAGCTGCTCTAGCACTACTCCTTTACAGCTGAACAGAGGAGAGAAAATTAGAAGGGAGACAGCTCATAGGTTGAGATACAGCAGGTTCCTAAAGCAAAAGGTTATGTGCACACAAGCACAGGAAAATAAAGCCCCAAACTTTAACTTTCTGCTTCTCATTGGCAGGTTTTGTCTGGACAGTTCCCAGGAAGCAAGGCTTCAGCTCTCACAGCAGTGGCTCCAGAAGCGAAATGTTGTAAACAAAAAACGCCCTCACTTCCAACTCCTTTTGGCTTTTGTGTCCAAGCTGATGATACATGGTCAATGTGGGTCCACTGTCCTATTAGCGTCCCCTGCTGTGATCCTGCCAAGTGCCAGCCTGCTGCCTCAGGCTGGGGTGCTGAGAGACAGCGCTGGTGCTGAGCCAGCCCTGCTCTGCAGCAGCCACAACTCTGGGCTGTTACCAACTCCCTTCCAGCTCCTGGGGCAAAGCACAGCCCTGGGAGGGCTGCCTGGGGAAAATGAGCTCCAGCTCAGCCAGACCCAATATAATCATCTGGATGATTCATCTGGGATTCTCAGCATAGGGAGAACATTAGGACCATTGAGAGAAGGAAAGCTGAATTGCTCTGAATGACTGACACAGGCTTTATTCTGCTATGGCTGCTGTGGAGGATGCTGGATCAGAAAAGTGGTGTGTCGGGTATGTGCCTTGTAATACTGTGCAGACATCTTACCTTTGTCAAATGCAGTAAAACAAATGGGGAAAAAACTCAAGCCTCACAGTTCTTGCAGGTCATTTTAGTAATGAGGCCTGTGGTGTGCAAAGCTTGGATAGAAGGCATCAGAAAACTGACCAGCAAGAAAGGTGATTATTACATACCTAAACAGGAGCACAGGGAAAAAAAAAAGCTTTGTTACATGCACAATATCTGGTGAACAAGAAAGGTGGAACAACTTTACGGAACTGATTGTCAGGGAAAAAAGTAAATGCTGAAGCATTTTATGGGAAATTAAAGCTATACCCTGTGGTGAAGGAGACATGCAGTCAAAGATGAATACCCATTTGTTTTCATTTTGCAGCATAGCAGCAAAATCTGGTTTGATCTCTTTTGTCTTGTTAAATGTTTCAACTGACTCTGTATGCATTGTCTTTATGTCCTGTAGGATACAGGTTAAGATTCTGCATGCTGTTTGTCAAATTTTAAGATGTAAAGCAATGCTCTTGGAGGCTTAGCATCTTTGTTTAACTGCAGCTGTGTTACAATGTGTGTTTGAGAGTCTGATTGAATATTACAAGGCTACATGCAAAGCAGATTACGACTGATGTGGCCTTTGATTAGTGGGGAAATGGAAAATAAAAATTTTGGAGCTGCAATTGTTTCATATTTGTCATCAGGGACTATTAATGAAGGGAGATTGTCTCCCTGCAGGTACCAGCAGCAAGTTTTGGGAACCATCCAAGCCCTATTTGAGGACCTGGAATATAACGGATTATTTGGTAAGAAAACCAAAATCTTTGAGTCTATGGGAATCTCTTTTATCATTTGGAGAGGATCTTAGAATTACTGCCATTCTTGGCTGGAGGTAGGTATTTCTGTGTTTATCAGCCAGTGTTCAAACCTCAGTAGAAACAGAAATATAGTTTTGACACTTTCTTGTAATGTTTTAGTTATCTGCTCCACTTTATTAGACATTTTCTTTAGATACTGGTAATTCAAGGTGCTAAATCTTAATTCCTCATGTGATTGCTTCAAATAAATCTCTAACTCTGATGACATAAGAGCACAAGTGCCATTTAATATCTGTGATACTGAGGCATGTGTGCTTTATAAAAAGTAGTTAGAGAATAGAAATATTGAATGCCATAGTTATTATGAGCAATTTAATAATATCTGACCATGAAGCAAAATGTGAGATGTGACTGGTCTCTCAATTGATAGAAAATAGTGTCGTTATCAGAATCAGTAGAGTTATGATGGCTTGACCCACAAGGATTTGAGAGGAAATTTGTTAATGTGACTTTTGATCCATATTGTTTATCTATTAATCTGTTAAAAATACTTTTTTTAAAAAAAAGTGTTAATGGAGAAGTAGAGGCACAGATTACAGCAACCATAAAAAGTGTTTATAATGAGGTGGTTCCGGGTGTTGCACAGTGGTGCTTTAATGTTCACAACTTTTTGCTTTCATAACAAATTCTGTGATCAAGTGTGCAGCTGGACCAACATCCACGAGTAAATCTCTGCCAGGCAGAACCAGATGATGACTGCAAACCAAGAGATGTGCGAGCTCCATGCCTGAGGAGATGAGCGCTTGGCTTTGCCAAGGGCAGTGTTTGCATGGCCACAGGCTGATGGCTTTCAGAAATTCAAGTGAGGCCCTTGGCTGTTTGCTTCTGGTAATCTCTTTGCCTCTTGGCTCCAAGTTCCTTAGATTCCTACTTATTTACGTCTCTTTCTTAATGACCCAGTGCATGTGAGGCCTATAAAAACACATTCCAGTTATATGAATTCTGAAAACTAAATACAGCCAACCTTTCAGTGTGTATGGGATGGAATCACTGAAATATAGAACTGCTGTAGGTAGCAAGGGAAGTTTTTCTTTGAGTCACTTTGGTAAATCAATTTTCCATTGGGGTGGGTCATAATCTGTCAATGATTTGCTGTCTCTGATGGTGTTTTCATTCCATTGAGTTATAAAATGAGGGCACTTCAGTGAAAGGTTTACTACAAAGCTTTCCTCTCAATCTTTTTTAGTGAGTATATGAGGGACTATAGCTGTTTAGAAATAAATTTGTATATAGAGAGGAATAATGAGATTTTTTAAAATCCAGTATCAACAGAAAGACTGAAAACCTTTTGGTTTTTGTCTATTCTTAACGTTATTGTATTGCTCCAAAATCTGGTTTTAAGAAGTAAGTGATATAAAAATGTTTAAGGTTAAATAGGTAGATGGAATTAATTTTAAAAATATTGTTTTTAAGGTCTACCTAAACTCATATATTTTTTCCAGTTAATCAATACTGTATTAATTTTTACCACTCTAAACCTGAAGGTCAAGTAGCATTTAAGATCCCTAAGTAGAAAAAGGTGTGGACCTGGCTTTATTTAGAGGTTTCAAGTCCTGTTTTGCAGATATGCTGACATTTATGAAACTGTCAAGCTTTGATCGTATTGGTTAATCCAATTTAAAGATGCTTAGAGCTTTTGTTTAACCTTCAGCTTGAGACATCTGATGGTGGTGGTTTGAGAGAGAGGAAGCAATAGCATATTCAGGAGAAATACCACAGGCCAGCATTTGCAACTATTACCATTTAAATAGCCTGTGTCAACCTAAACAATACACAAGGGTTTGGATGACATTTTTTGTGGGAATTTGATTCCAAGGATCTTTACGGTATGATAAGTACGTGATCCAAAATGACACATTATGGAGTTATTCTGGGTTGGGGTGAACACAGATCTCAAGGATGATAGGCAAAACTGCATCCCAAACTGCAAGGAAGGAGCAAGAAATTGCAAATAGATGGAAAGCACTTTAAACAATTTCCTCTACCATGTACAGGACTGTATTGTGACATTCATCAGAGGAATCTCATCTTCCCAAGCTGCTTCCAATTTTCCACAGCCTATTTGAGTAGGTCCACTTCTATTAGGACCAAATTTAAGGGACAGGAAGGGTTTTCATTCTAGCTACACCAGGACTCTGTGTCACTACTGCAGGGAGAATAGCTCTAAAAATCCTGATTTCCGAGTTCCTTGATCTGTAAATATCATGCATTTGTTCAGGGGTACACACCTAAATAACTCATTAAGAATAGTGTTTGGGAAGAATTTTCAGGACGGAGGATTAGGGAAAATGGTAATTTTTGGAGTTATTTCTTATATCACTTAGAAATCCTCAGTAGATTTTTATGAGAACCTGCAGAAAAATTCATGTTATAAATAAAGAAAAGCCTGAAAAAAATAAGGTCCTGGGGCTCTGAGAGTTATAGTCTTGCACTTGGAATGCTAGGCAGGGCTGAAGAAGGCTTGCAAGCTGCTCCTGCAGTGCTGGGCTGCAGGGAGCTGCGAGCACAGGGCTGGAGCAGTGCCAGTGCCCACCAGAGCCGAGCAGGGGCGAGTCGAGAGGGAGAACGCAACTTTGGGTATCAGAATCTGCTGTCTGGGTTGATTTTTAGCATACCAAGGGTGTGATAAATTATGGCTTAACTCTCAATTGTGTAAGTGTGACACTTTCATAATAAACACAGGCTGCTTGGGTTCATCTGAAAACAATCTTATATGTTTGGTTCATTTTAGTCACGGGGACGGTTTCTGTGTCATCTGCTGAGTGGGTTTGGTGCTTTTCCCCATTTTTTTCCAAAACTAGCTCTGAGTGCTTGCAAGGAAAGAAGAAAACAGACACCAAAAGAAGCTGAAGTTGTTCATTGTGGGAAGTGTGCCTACAAAATTTGTCTTAAAGCTTTGAATATTTTATTTTTGTTACAAAATTGATTTCAAGGCTGAGGAACAGATGTTTCAGTCTGTATTCTTTATCTGCAAAGTGTTTTTAAAATTCTTTGCTTAAAAATATTTGCCCTCTTTTAATAAATGGACAAAAATGGGTTGGTCAATACTAACCTTTAAGGTACAGTTTTTGGTAGCAAACAGAAGTTTTTACTTAGTGCTGCAGTGATATGAAAGATGATGTAACACTGACCCTGCTTTTAGGATAGGAGAAATACTGTGCATGGCAATACTGGCAATGATGTTGTGTTGTTTTTAATGCCCATGGATGTACTCTGACCTATCCTGAGAAAACTCTGGTTTAGTTTTGTGCCAGTGCTTTGTTTAGCAGGGCTACAGACCAATGTTTCACTTTGTTATCTGGGTAAATGTTCTTTATTTAGCTGTCAGTCCATTTTCTGCTTACAAAGTACTCTCTGAAAGACGATTCCTTACTTTTGTCTACTTTTTGTTGCTCAATATTATCTATGAGAGAGATGTATATACATTTGTACAGGAATAAACACTGTGTCTGCATTTATGTGACCCATGAGAGGTGTGGAGATGCTTGCTCCCACTCCAGCTACTTCCTATAGACTGATTACAATTCTAAAATCTCACTGTAATATCAGGCCTGCTTGTGATCATCTTCCAACTGAAAGCTAGTCTGATGTACGCTGATATCTTGCTAATAGATGTTGAATGGCACGTGTTCAAAAAAAGACGTAACATTTAAAAATGACACTCAACATTACTGACAATGTAAATGATGCAACCCGATCAGTTTTGAATCAGTTTGGATTTAATCATCATTTATAATTCATTTGATTTCCTCTTAAACTCTGCCTCAAGCATCTCCTAGGTGTTTAGACTGCAGAAAGATAAAATGCATAGATGTATATTGCTGCCTAGTAAATCTCTTTCATGTTTTCCACTTGCAGAGACAGGGTAGTCTGACCTTGGAAAAGGGCTATAATCCAGTGTCTTTATAGAGATGAGGAAGCAGCTTTGACAAGCAGAAGTTAAACCCTAGATGGTCCAGGACTATCTAGCCATTGCTTAATCTTCTTAATATGGTAAGACAAATCCCATTCTTCATTTTTATATTAACATATTTCAATTTTATTACTGTTTTTAACTCTTAAGCAGAGCTGTAGAAGCTTGGATAGAAATGCCAGACAAGCACACACATTCAGAAGAAAAAGAACTCCTCAGCTCAGCAAGCTCACAAGTTTCAAAAAGCTTATTTTAAATGGCTGTGAGTGAGGAAAAATTAGGGCATTGAGCAAGCCAATGTAACTACTGCAGAGATAGTAAAATAAGGACTGTAAGGTGAAAATTAATTACTATTAACAATAAAATGCATTTATTCTGAGTGGAGCTTGCTGTAAAGACAGGATTTCTAAGTGGCCACAGGGATAGAAATGACCACTTGTGATTGTTACCTGCATCACCTGCTAGTTTCCCAGTTTTTGGAGCAGGATGTGATTATCCCCAGTTGTTTCTGAGAAGGAACGTCTAATGTCAGCCTTAATCGCTGTGAGGTGGCTGCTTGTTATTGCAGCCTGCACAGAGGCTGACCAGAAGGACTCCACTTTGAAACCTGTGTCTGGAAACGAAGCTCTCTTCTTTTGCACATCTCTTTTCATTCTTCTCTCCCAAACTACTATAATGGATATTATTTTGTGTTTGCAGAAATTGTCTGCCACTGAGCAGGTTACACAGGCCATTGAAGCAGCCAAAGAGCTGAATAGTGGTTGAAATTGGCCAGATTCGTTTAAAATAATGTTTTCAACAATACATACTATTTATTTAAGAATAATTAATTATTTGATATTTTATGGTGAACTAAAAAAAAAAAAAAAATAACTCCCTTTGCAAACATAGGGACAGAGAATCAGTGATGTCTACTCTGTGTGTGATTTGGATATTAAAATCTGTGATTGAGCTATAGAGTTCTGGTATGTCAGTGATTTGGTTGCTATAATTAGATTATATGACATTTGCTAGGAAATTTGTTCACTTATGAGTCATTTTCTTATAAAATATATTTTTATTTGACAAAACAAAGAACAAAATTACTA